AGTTCACGTGATGGACGTAACCACATTAGAAAAATACAAAACTTTATCATTTGGCGCCCACCGTGGTGCCAGCTCTCATACTTTTGGAAACTTTTGTTTATTCTTCTGTTATAATTTTCACATTAGTTCTTTATCTTGTCGGCCGTTTGGTGTAGTGGTTCGAAACGGACTACTATTCCGGAGGTAGCGGGTTCGATTCCCACACAGTACAAACATTTGTGTGCATTAACATATTTGTTTGTATTGGACTGGGTGTTTTCTATGTATAATAAGTATGTATTTACAAAAAAAAGGATTTAAGTATGTTTATATTCGTTGTCTAGTACCCATAGTACAAGCTTTGCTTAGTTTGGGACTAGAAGCGCAGTGTAAAACTAATGTCCAAGGATATTTATTTATTTATGTATTAATGTTCATATTTACTCTCATTTCTCAATTCACAAATAAAACTTACTAATATTTTGTAACGTGTTAAAAAAGAACTGATTTTAGAAAATTAATCTTATTCTCTTATTAATATTATAGTCTACAACTAGCTAACGCTTTTACATAATTGAATCTATAGTAGACAAAACGCCGTGAGAAAGAGGAAATAATAGCGCTACTGCTTTGAAAAACCTAACTTCTGCGCGGCAGTGTCATCAATCAAAATTATTCAAATGCGAAAATGATCCGTAAACAATCGCGGGTAGTTGCAGATGGGTTTATAATGGCGCCGCGCGCGCGTCGGTGGAGGGGCGCCGGCGCAGCTCATTACAGATTTCACAGGCGGCGCGCGCGCACGGCTCACTCGTGACATTTCAATCGCCATCTTCGCGGTGGTCGCCATCTACATCATGACGAATCGTTACTTACGATTTCAATAATACTTTATCATGTGACAGTTTTTTTATTGAAGAATTCTTGGGAAATGTGGACCAATTTATTCTACTTACTGGTGTTATTTTGTGTTGTTCCATCATGGCATGGCTGCATGGTGCTATATGGTTCTGTCAAAGTGGAACAACTTAGCCTAAGTCATTCGATATTTTAAAATTAAACCTCAAAATTAAATTTTATCATTATGCAGTATTCCACAATGACGAAATTGTAAATTATAAAAACTGAATCTGTAAAAAATAAAACAACAAACATTTCACAGTTGGCGTACGTGATGTTTTTAATATTTTCTTACTTTATTTTAATAGTGCCTAAAAAGTACTTTCACGGGCCACTTGCGGGAAATCTTCAAATTAACGAATTTTATCTAACAAACTGTTTTGATACCTGCGCACGAGTCAAGTCGCGCGCGCACGCACATGACGCCTGACGAATGAGGAGTGCGGAACGAACGCAAGCATTATGCCGCCTTCACACTTTATTACAGCCTTATTTCATTAGGGATCCAGGACTCGAAGATTGATGTAAACCATGAGAGCTTCAAATAATCAGATAAGATGCAGGTCAAGAGCTTTCTCGCTGTGGTTAAAAAAAGACTAAGGCTGGATTGCACCATCTTGTTTTAACTTTCACAAACGTCAAAAATCCGTCGATCCATACAAAAAGTACCGGTTATCGTTATAGTTTCGGTCAAAGTTACGCGGTGCAACTCAGCCTAAGCCTGGGCTGCATCATCTTACTTTAACTATAACAAACGTCAAAAGTCTATCAAACTGCATACCAAAACAGCGGTTATAGTTATATTTGGGTACTGTTCAAATTAATGTGTTGCAATTCAGCCTTAGTGTACGAGTAGGTACAAAAAGTCTGCAAAGGAATCGATCAAACGAATAATTAAAAAAAAATACTGACCTTACTGTGTACGAAGCACTACATAGCCCTGTCAGTTACTCCTTTCTGGAGCATGGAAGTTTACCGTAGGAAAATGTAGGAACCAGTAAAAATGCATTTAAAATGTCCTTTTATAAAGCTTAAATAATTTTGTTGGTATGCCTCAATAAATAAATAAATAATGAGACAAGTAGTTGATTTTCCAAAGGCTTAAGCCAATAATTCTGTTTATGAAACCCTTACATTCCGTCCCAACTCGCCCTTCACTCGCGCTCGCCTCACCGTGGGACTCTTTGCTCACCGCGCTCGTAAACTCTCGCACAATTCGCGCCTGCGCTAGGCGCTGAAAAAAGTTTTTATATCGCACACTCCGAGCTTTTTTCTCGGGAATCATTTCATATTAATTCGTCACGGGTTCTTTAATTGTTGAAATTATTTCCACATTCTGTTGCTAGTGGAAAGACACTGCAGAAAGCTGTCAGTTGCTAGCGTCCAGAATACTATTTGGATGATCCTGATTTGTAGAAAGTAAATGATCAATATTTAAAGCAACAATATTTTATTTCACAGTTAATACTGATTTTAGTATACCTAATTCAAGATTTCATCAGGCCTTTATGTAATTTTTTTGGGAAATAACATTCTTGCTATAATTTCATTTTAGACAGCATAAAAAGTCCTTTCTGTCGTCAGGATGCTAACTCTTGGACCGCGATCTTTCTGTAATCTTTGGTTGTGAAACAATGACCAGTCACCATTTATTTTTCACCCATGACCTATTATAGTGCTAATGTCTAATAATTGCACTTGCATGATTCAAATAAACAGAACAATAATGTTCCTTATCCCTGGCAGGTAGAGTAGATTTTTCTGTAGAGACTTTCGGGCATTCACCCCTTTGACATACGACGAGGGGCAGGAACATTTTTATTATTTTTATCTCAATCCCACGACAATATGCTCGGATGTGTTTACATCTCCAGGCACAGCTTCTCGTAATAGATACCATGATGGATCGCGGCTGTAGCTGCACATTTGTTGAGCAAGGCATTAGAATGTTTGATGGATTGACCTTTTTTGTCGGCTGCTAATTAGAGAATCGACTTCCGATGATTTATTGAAAAACTGATCGGTAATTAAAGTGATTTATTTCTTCAGCGAATTTATAGCGTGATGAAACAAAGGATAATATGGTGGATCTGGTGTTTGTAAAACTAATAAGGTAAACAAGCAAACATGCCTCGTTAATAGTAAAGAGTCGGATAGTGACGCTCGAGAGCGTTTAGAGGAGAGCTTTTTGTTTATTTACAGTACTAATTGATATATAAAAGAATAATATACTATAGCCGCGAGTGTACTTGATTGCCGTGATAATAATGAAGTAATTTATTAAGTATCTGACATTTACTAAGTTAAGAAATGAACAGATAGGGTTTGTTTTTGTAAAAAAAACGTATGAAGCAAAATATTTTTTAACATTTCTTTTCCACACTAGGCTCTAGGCCTGTGTTGTCGACAAAATACCGGAAATCATACTAGTATTACACTGAACAAAGCTTCCAAACTAATGCTCATTCATTCCTGCAAGGGTACAAGAAAAGCTTGTCTAGTTTGTTTTGTTTTACGATGCTGCTTCATTTTTTCATTACTGTCCGATAATTAAATTATTATTTGCTTCCTTTAATTGGTGCAATAACCATTTTAATTGCTTTTTAAGAATGGCTACCTTCACAATTTACCACACCAGATAAGCCAATGGGGGAGATTTTTAAGACTCTACTTTTTAAGTCCTATTGAATTGTTTCTAAACAATGATTGTCTGTAGAGTCTATAGAAAATGTCACTATGTATAATACTGGATAAGTTATACTTGATTTCGGGCTCTGCACAGGACTATTCCCACCTCTCGTTCCCACCGCTGCAACTCCTGTGTAGCCAGGACCTACAGCTTGACCACCAATAAAAACCCAAACAGTAATGGTCAAGTTTGTTCCGGGGGAAAGTTAAACTGTCATTGGACCCGCGACGAAATTAATCAGAAGAACATAGTAGGAGTTCGAAGTTAAGGTTCGACTTCCCTCCATTGCAAAGTGGATGACAGGTGACAAACAAAGGTTCAGTAACCTTTATGAAAAAATAATATTATGCACCACGGACAATAAACATCAATTAAGAATCAATCAATCAACCTATCGGGAAATACTATTAAGAGCTCAAAAGCGTTGTGTCAGAGCTATCTGCGGCCTTAAGCCTACCGAAAGCTGTCAACCATATTTTAAAAGTCTGAAACTATTAACATTGCCCTGTTTATATATTTTTGAAACATGTGTATTTGTTAAGTCTCATCCAGATTTGTTTGAAACAGAAAAGCCGATCCCAAGACTTCGTCCTAGGAATACCAGAATATGTATGAATTCTTGTAAAACTGCATTAATGAGCAAAAGTGTACTTGTAATGGCTCCAAAAATATTCAATAAGCTCCCTGAACCATTAAAACACTATAACATAGATAAATTGAAATTGATATTATCAAAATTATTAATTGACAAATGTTATTATAATGTAAATGACTACCTTGGAGATAAAGACTTATGTAATTTAAAATATTAAAAATTTTGACATTTATTAAATTTTATTTTTGACATTTATTAAATTAAATTTTTGACATTTATTAAATTTTATTTTGAAATTTGTTAAATTTTTATTTTTGACATTTATTAAATTTTATTTTGACATATTTAATATTGTAATTTATGAAGAAAATAATTGTGCAGATTTAATTAATATTTCATTTCAATCGTTTTTATAAACAATATAATATTTTCTGTATGACTAACTTATCAATATATTAATCATTGACTAACAATTGTATCATTAATATTGTATTATAAAAAATTGTACTGCCTATCATTTCATCAATTAATATTCTGTATCTTTCAATTATTGTATGCCCATGCGGCTGAACACAGCTGATCTATTGCAAACATTTTATGACCTGACTTATGTATTTACCTGTGATTTCACAATAAAAACAATTTGAATTTGAATTTGAATTTGAAGAGGACCTATATTATGAGCTATTAGCTACCTGCCAATAATATTTTTCACAAAATCGCTTAAAAGCTGTTAAAAGCACGGAAATTGATCCTTGTCGAGACAAGATCGGTGTAATAAATTGCAGAAACATATGTATGTTGTTCGGGCAGGACAGCCCACTGTGCAGAGGATGCATGGAGGCAGAAGAAACACCGCAGCATGTGCTCATGGAATGCAGCAGCGTAGCAGAACAACGGGCTCAATTTCTCCGATCACCATCGTCGCTGCAGGAGGTGTGTAGCAAGTATAGACGGGCTGCTTGCCTTCTGGGGGGATCTGGAGTGGTTGGAGTAGGAAGATTAACCACAAATCGCGCACAATGGCCCAATCATGAGGTTATGTGCGGTATTCGATTGCTCTGCAAAACTAACTATGTTGTTCGGGCTCTGCAGTAGTTTTGTCTAACGTACCTTACGCAGCGGGCAGTGCGTAGATGCTGCATCTCATCGCGATGTGCGCGGGCGCGGGTCAGCCGGCGCGTGCCGATACTATCCGGCTAATGGCTTTATAATGCGGCTCCGAAACGCGCCTATTAACGTCATTAACAAACTAATGCGCAGTAACGTGTCTATCTGATACTCGCTGGACGATTATGACCATTCGAAGTAACGGCCTTTACAGCTTCATCATGATACGGAACGGTATGGATCTCTTTGTTTTTTAGTGAGAAAGGTATTTTGTACTTAATTTACTATCTACCATTAGCCATGTAACGGCAGATCTACTACGATTATGATCATAATAATAATTCACCAGATTCTAGCATATTGCTCAAAAGTTGCTAGGACAACATTTACGTCATGATGTTTCTAATTATACAGGGTGGCCAGGCAGTTGACGTTCAAAGCTAAAATTTAGATTCCTTACATCAATTTGTATCTAAATCACCCCCATTTATTTTCTACGATTTTGCTTAGTTTAGGAGATAGAGCTAATTTTGTGATTTATCCTTATCCTATAGTTGGTTTTTAATTTTTTTTCTCACTCTGGCGAGAACTTTTAGTTTTTTTTTACTTACTCACGCTAGATAAGCTTCCAAAATTTAAAATGAGAACATAAATGGGGGTGATTTAGGTACACCTTGATGTAAGCAATCTAAATTTTAGCTTTGAACGTCAACTGCCTGGCCACCCTGTATTTTCTTGTTGATGGTTGAGAATGTGGAGATTCACACGGTTCACACCTAAACACATTGATAGGAAGTTTCAATGAATTTTATTACTAAAGATAAAGTACTACAGATACTATCTACTTACAATCAACTACAAATTATTTTCTACTTACGAGTACTTACATAACCATGATCGAAACTTGAGACAGCTTTACGTTGTCCTATTGATTGGAGGGCATTGATTTTCGATTTGATCTTATACGTGATTGTAGGTACCTGAAATGAAAATAAATAATATTTAATCTAAGTATTTGGAACTTATTATGCATATTGCATTTTAAAATATTGTCGAACCTTACAAAAACGTGGCGAATCGACAATAACCCAGTGGAACTTCTGACTCATTTAAGTTACCAAGTAAGTCACCCTAGCGTGCGTATGCTTACTTGTCAGGAATGACAATACCATTGAAGCTTTAGAGATTTTAGAAAACAATCCAAGTATCTTATGTTACACAAGCCTATTAGATAATAATATCATGGTTGATTTGGTATCTCTAGCTAAAGTCAAGCAGGCTATAAAATATTTATAGAACGGTGTTGAATCGGACTGATGCTCTTAGGCATTATGCCACGACTCACGTGAGAGGCTGCGAGCTTTGTTCTAGCCGCGTGACGTCACAGCTCGTTAGCGTCACGTGCGCGGGCGCATTAGCATTAGAGCGCTAGGCGCGGGCGGCGCGCGGGGCGGGGCGGGGGGCGTGGCCGCGCCGCCATTGGCCGCCGCATGCAAATGCGCCGCGCCTGCGCCCGCGCAATCACTGCGCAACGACCCACCATTGTTCCACGCAAAAACTCGCAAACCCGCCCGAGCTCGTTTGTCGGGAACATGTCACTACAAAAACGAAGGAATGCGCATAACAAGAAAAGGCAAAAAAGGCCGGACGACGCGACGCGGCGCTTTTTACTCTCGATTTATGTCCCCGCGCCGGCCGGCGCGCGCGCAGCCCGCTACTTATCCTAACATCGCCGAGTCGTCACTTCTCCGCGTTTTTTCTGCTCAGCAAAAACTAGACCGATCGGGTACTGAACCCGAGAGCTTAAACGGACGAGCGAAGTCAATTGGCGACGAGCCCATTACTTTTAAACCGCATTTACATTGAATGCCACGACGAGATCCAAACGTCGGGATGCAACGCTCAATTAAAATAAGGCAATAAATTAACAGATATAAGCGCCCCAGCGGTTGACTAAGTACAGGATGCTCATTCCGCTGAGCTTGATCACGGATGCGGATGTACTCGTCACTCCAGACATTATTTTCAAACGAAAGAATATCATTACATGATCCATACATTAGCCTTGATTTTCCTGTAGATTTTGTAAGGGGTGTGGCAAAAAAATACCTACAACAATCTTGCCATTAGAATGTTGTTTCAATAGCAAAAGATCCTACTAACAGTTGTCAAAGGAATTCATTCTTCTCTTCATAATTTAAAGCATAGATTGCAACCAGCACCCTGTGCGAGCCGTGAATGGCTCCATGACTAATGAAGCGGCCTGACAGCCCGCAGTCATTAGGTCTCCGTCGTGACGGGTCGGGGCTGGATCGTGACGGACTTTGCTGAATGACAGTCTACTTACGAGTGCCTACTTAGGACTAGAAGTGATGCTGTAGGGAATTCCCAAAAAAAACTACAAAATTGGCAAAAAAGTCATGTCAGATAGGTATTTTGATAACAAACAAGAATTTACACGACTTGATTTATCAATCTTTGTGTAAGAACCAGAGAATTCAAACTATGCGAAGGAGACGAGCGAGATTCAGAAAGCCGCAGTTCATAGAGAAAATATCATGCAGACGTGGACATAGTCCGTTTAAACGGGCAACAATGCAATTTGCAGTCTCCCAGGCTCATTTAAACGTCTGCTCCAAGGGCCGAGACTAGCCGGCCGCACACTTCAAATTAAGAATATCAAAAGATTGCGAGAACAACTTAGTCTGGAAGAAAAGGCAAGAAAAGTCATCATCATCATCAGCTCATGTCAGTCCATGATCGAAATAATCTTTTAAAAAACCTGAAAATGATACCCAAATGAAAAAGACATGGATCTAGTGAAGAATTTTCTTGTGATAGAAAATGGATACCTAGGTAAATCTATGCATCATCATTAGTTACGGAAAGCTCTACTAAGTATTTACTTAAAACTCTGGGAAAAGAGTTTGAAACGAGTTATTATTGACATTTACAAGTTCACCAATTAAGGATTTGTTGTTTACGAAGTCATCAACACCTTGTTGGGGTCTTCAGCATAGTTTCCACTCATAGCACACCCAATAATAACTAGGTGCAAGCTTCATAAGTTGTCATCAGTGTGCGGTCGAGTCTAAGCAAATTGACAGATCCGGACGTCCGAGCCGGCCCAGCAGCCGGCCGGCGGACAGCTGGCACCGGCCCAAGCCTCGTATTTATGAGCGCCGACACTGGCCCATTCAGGCCGCTCACTCTATTGCCCATTTCGCAATCATTTCAGTTTAGCTCCCTTGTCTGCATGCTTTATTATAATTGGCTTTGGATTATTTGCAACGTCCTTTTCTTAAACTGCTGGAACCTACTGCAAAATATTTTTGCAGACACCATGAAGGTACTTTACGTTTAGCGTTTTTCCTACAGCGAAAAACATAATTGTGGAAAATTTTCAGGTAGTTTCAGTAGTAAAATTAAGTTTCCGCAAAATATAAAAATAAGATTTTAATGACATGTCATGATTGAATAATTATAACGATAGTATTTTCCTTGACCCGTCTAGCCAGCAAAGGAAGTAAAGGGTAATAATGCCAATTTGTCTCTTGTAAATTGAAATACTTTGTGTTTCTGCAGTAGTGCATATTTTTTATAAAATACTAGCTGACCCGGCGAACTTCGTACCGCCTTAGCGTAGAGATTTTCTTAATATTTTTTTCCGTAAGAACCATCCTTGGACTTCCACAAACATTTAAAAAAAAGAATTATCGAAATCGGTTCAGCCGTTCACACGTGATGCCGTGACAACGCGAAACGGGTTTCATTTTTATATATATATGTAGATGAATCTTAAATGAAAATGACTCTTACATTCCCACACTCTTAATTCTAAGAAGTATCATTGATCGAGCTGACAATAAATACAATAATGAAGACAGGAAATCGAAAAACAATAAATAAACAAAAAGTCATTTATCAAACTAATCAACTCTTCTAATAATCTAAATCCCGAGTAAAAACGGGATACACATGACAGTGTAAGTATAGTTTATAGATAATTAGCTTCAAGTGTCCAGTAAAGAAGCGCAAACGCACGCACACAGCCGCCGGGACGTGATGAAATCTGTATCAGGAGTCGCCGGTTCTAAATTGAACTTTATTTTTATATGTATAGAGGTTGTTGGATGGTCAAGGGGGGTTCATTACGTGTCTCATGCGGACGCATTAGATTCGTTCCGAGTATACAGATAGCATTGGTATGGAATTATGCGCGTGCGCAAAAACTAGTCGCGCATTAGAATGAGCGGCGCGGGGCCGCTCCCTGCGACGCGGTGTTGCCAGCGCGGCCTGGGAACGGGGGTAGCTACTGGAGGTAGTACGATCCTGATTAATCCTGAATCTGTCATAAGCACTGGCGTATACCCATCCAGCGAGCAAACGCAGCCAGCAACCTCACCTCATTGTCTCAATTTATTTTTGATTACCTAATAGTCAGCTTTTACTTACTTCAGTTATTTTTAAACTTAACTCAGTTTTTGTATAAGTTTAGTTACTTACGATAGAAGCTCATCCTATCTTATTAGTGATAAGAATAATAGCACCAATTAATATTTATTGCAAAAAGTTACAAAAACGTTTTAGTAGAGCAGTTTCAAAATCTTTTTAATTGAGCTTAAGTTGTAATTTTTTAGCCTTTATCTTAATGTTACACTTCACTAACTGTTATTAATATCTTAGCAATTGAAAAGTAGAAAAAATAACTGACTCCTATTAAACTTCAGCCAGGTATTTTCATTTATTATAATGGACGCTTTTCACATCCCAAAAAAGGAAATTTTCCCCGAGGATACGGCTGGCAACACCGCAGCTCGGCCGCG